GCTCTTAGGCTACGTTCACATTACCAGGCTGAAGTGGCACAAATCAGATTTTTTGCCCTGATGTGACTCAGATCTGATGTTTTAGAGCTGTGTGGACACACAAATCTGATCTTTTGAAATCCAACCTGAGCCACTTTAGCTATGTTCATATTACAAGCCTCATTGCTCAAATCCGATTTTCTGCTCAAATCTGATCTCTCTGTCACGATGGTTCACACTCGTTTAGGTAAGTGATTCAAACCGGCGTCCTGAAATGACCCACATGAGCACATCCTACTCAGTAATGTGAAGTGAATGAATCATGAGCATCATCAGCACAAACTAACGAGCAGAACGAGCTTCGCTGAGAAGATAATTAACTCTGATCAGCTCTCAGCTTCATTATTAGAGCGAGACGAAGGAGAAAAAGGTGAGATGAGCTGCTTTTCCACCGTTTACAGGTTTTAACTTCTGTTCAGCGCTGCTGCCAAGGTAACACTGAATGATGGCGCAGTGCAGTGGAAAAAAGCACATGCATTCCGATCTGAGCGTCACATTAAGGTCGCAAGGCCACGAATCGGATACGTATCTGATATAATCCTTTTTGAAAAGGGTTTTATATAGCACCAAAAAGCGTTCTTCTATTGATACAAGTTTGACATCACAACCATAATACACTCTTTAAAAAGATGGTTCTTCAAGGGTTCCTTAGTAAAGAAAATGGTTCTATATAGAACCCTGAACACTCAAAGAACCCTTTGCATGATTAAAAGGTTCTTTGCATGATGAAATGGTTCCTTTAATTGATGGAAAATGTGCTGCAGGTGGTTCTATATAGCACCTTTTTGAAAATGGTTCTATATAGCACTAAAAGTGTTCTTCCATTGTTAGAAGCAGGATCTCGCAAGCATAGTATACTCTTTAAACAGATGGTTCCTTAAGGGTTCTTTGGTAAAGAAAATGGTTCCATATTTAACCATGAACACTTAAAGAACCATTTTTTTCAGAAAGGTTCTATACAGAACCACTAGCAGCACACTCCATCAATCTGAAAAAACCTTTCATGATGCAAAGAACCCTTTAATCAAGCAAAGAGTTCTTTGAGTGTTTATGGTTCCATATAGAACCATTTTCTTTACTAAAGAACCCTTAAAGAACCACATTTTTATGAACGTAAGGCACATAGTAACTTGCACTTACAGCCAATAATAATATACACCTGACAGGTAACTGTGGAGTTTATGAAAGATGGACACACAATGGAAAGCACAATGAGAAAGCAGTCCAGATTACACAAAGAGGGCAGAGCAAAGCAAGTAAAGCATTATGCAAATAGGTGATGCAGGAGCCAATGGGAAAGATGTTGAGTTTTATTTAATAAGCTTACACTGACCAAACAACCCTTATCAAGTGAATCTTACAACTCACTTCCATTACAACAACACAACTGACTCAGTTTCACTGACTTACATGCTTTTGTTCAGTAAAATCAATGACAGAAAATGAATTTAAAACAAAAATAGAGTAATTTTAGTGTTTTGAGTGCTGATGTATATGTAAATTAGCTTTGTTCTGATTGGCTGCCTTGTATTGTGCCTTATTCAAAAAGCAGTCTGGGATTAAACACTCCTTATAACTTCAGCGTGAGTGTGTGGGGCTACACTGTAGGCAGAATAGGCAGATACATGTAAATGTGTTGGTTTTTGTGACATCACAAAAATAGTAAATTCAAAACAGTCTGTTTTTGCAGCTTATGGGTGGTTTGGAGTGGTGAGTGGACATTTTAAAACCTTTATTTACCTACCACATAAACTCTTGTTTATAAGTTTGGTTTTCTGTGATATTGGCTCTTTAAACAAGGTCAGTGCTGTTGCTCTACAATGCACTACTGAAAATGTTCTACTCATCCATTCATGGCCTTCTGGTGTTGTAGAGAAACAGAAGGAAGATGATAAAGTGACCGGAGTATCAGGGCAGCAGGCTGGAAATCTGGAGCTCTTTATCTGGAGTCTGCAGTTCGTCTCTAAAGGTGCAGGTTTAGGATTACCCAGTGTAACAGCATTCCTTTGTCTGTCATGCAGTCACACCACTTAAATTGCACAGGAATTTTTGTGCGTGTTTTCTGTATTGTATGTGTCGTGTGTATGTGTGTTTAGGTAGAGCTGAAGCCGAACTTGTGACTGAAGCTCTGTGCCCAAATAATGCAGCCTCTTTCTAAGTCAATTAGATCATTTGCTCTCGCCATGTTGATCCACAATCCAAAATCAAGGTCAGCTGGACCTGCTCAGCTCAGCTGTTTCATACCTGCTGCAGAAGAAGGAAGGCCATTGCTTAACTGTATCATGCAGAAACATCTGGACTCATTATGTTTCTTAACTCATTCATATATATTCAGTTTAACACATAAGCGCATTATCTAAGCCGGTTGCAGGGGGGGGTGCTGAAGCCTATCTTAGAGGTCATAGGGCAGAAGACAGGAAAAACCCTATATATATATATATATATATATATATATCGCTGTTGTCATAAGAAAACCTCTTATCTTTCAGTTTTTGACATAATTTGTATATAATATATTCAGTTTAACACACAAGCGCATTATCTAAGCCAGTTGCAGGGGGCGGTGCTGAAGCCTATCTTAGAGGTCATAGGGCAGAAGACAGGAAAAACCCTATATATATATATATATATATATATATATATATATATATATATATATGTATATATATATATATATATATATATATATATCGCTGTTGTCATAAGAAAACCTCTTATCTTTCAGTTTTTGACATAATTTGAAAATACCTGTTGCTCTTTACATTGTATGTAAATTCCTGATGAATAGACTAAAATAAATGACCCTAAATGACTAGGAAGAAAGTTTGGTTCCATTGACTTACATTAAAAGTATAGTAGGTTTTTCTCTTCTCCTGTAAAGTTACCATTTTGGAGATATAAGGTTTTCTTCTGCACAACAGCCATATATATATTCATTCAGTCTCATTGCCACAGATGTATAAAATCAAGCACCTAGCCACTGTGACAACAAGTCATTTTGCAAAATTTCTTCCCTCCTAGATCAACTGTGAGCGGTATTGTTGAGAAATGGGAGTGTTTGGGAACCACAGCAACTCAGTTAGTTACAGAGTGGGCTGCCGAGTCCTGAGACACATAGTGCATAAAAGTCTCCAGCGCTCTGCTGATCAATAACTGAAGAGTTCAAACCTCCTCTGACATCAACATCAGCACAGAAACTGCACCGGGAGCTTCATGGCAGGGTTTCCATGGCCGAGCAGCTGCATGCAAGCCTTCCATCACCAAGCACAATGCCAAGCATCGGATGGAGTGGTGTAAAGCACCACCACTGGACTCTGGAGCAGTGGAAACATATTCTGTGGAGTGACTATTTAACGTGCTACTATGCGGAAAATGCAGCAGGGAAATCTCAGCCGTTCACATTTCAGCTTTCATTTGTCGTCACTACAGCAACAAATCAAACGAAACCAAATCACTATTAATACACTTTGTTATCTCACTACAAACAGCCACTGCACTGCTGAACGAACTTGAAGTCGCCTGCACTCTTAAAAAAGATGGCGCTTCAACGTTTCTTTAGTAAAGAAAATGGTTCTATATAGAAACATGAACACTCAAAGAACCCTTTGCATGATTAAAGGGTTCTTTGCATCATGAAATGTTTCTTCAGATTGATGGTGAACGTGTTGTATATGGTTCTATATAGCACCCAAAAGGGTTCTTGTATTATTACAGTGTTAAGCTTGTGACAATAGAAGAACCACTTTGTATGTTATATAGAACACTTTTTATAAAAAAGGTTCTACCTAGAACCATCTACAGCACATTTTCCATCAATCTGAAGAACCATTTCATGATGCAAAGAACTCTTTAATCATGCAAAGGGTTCTTTGAGTCTATGTAGAACCAGTTCCTTGACTAAAGAACCCTTGAGGAACCACCTTTTTGAGGGGTACCAAAATGGTGGCAGCAAGGCAGTGACGTCATTGGAAAACTATCAATAGGCACAACAAAATCTTTTTAAAAGAACCCTTTTGGGTGCTAATATAGAACCCTTTTTAGAATGGTTCTACATAGAACCATCTACAGCACATTTTCCATCAATCTGAAGAACGCTATCATTTAGCAAAGAATCCCTATAATCATAAAATGGTTCTTTGCATTGATGAAGAATGTGTTTCATATTGTTCTACATAGAACATTATTGAAAAGGGTTCTATATAGCACCAAAAAGGGATTTTCTATTGTTACAATGTCAATCCTGTACCAATAGAAGAACACTTTTTTGTGATATATAGAACCCATTTCTAAAAGGTTCTATGTAGAATCATCTACAGCACACTCTCCATCAATATGAAGACCGATTTCACGATGCAAAGAACCCTGTAATCATGCAAAGTGCTCTTCGAGTCTATGTAGAACCAGTTCCTTGACTAAAGAACCCTTGAGGAACCATCTTTTTTAAAGTTGTACCAAAATTGGGGAACTATCAATAGGCGCAACAAAGTCTTTTTAGAAGAACCCATTTGGGTGCTAATATAGAACCCTTTTCAAAACGGTTCTATGTAGAACAATCTACAGCACATTTTCCATCAGTCTGAGGAACCTTTTCATGATGCAAAGAACATCATTTCATTATGTTATCACTGTGTAATTTGAGCTTTAATCATGCTAAGGGTTCTTAGAGTGTCCATGGCTCGATACAGAACCTTTTTTTCTTGACTGAAGAACCCTTGAAGAAGAGAGTGTACCAAAATGGTGGCAGCGAGGCTGTGACGTAATTTGAAAACTATCAATAGGTACAACAAATCATTTTTTTTCCTGTGTTTTTCTTCTTGTTTGTATGTTTATTTCTATTAGAGTCGCTGTTTAAACCGCCCACTCTTACAGCGGAGCCTGGAGTTTGTGGTCTGTGTCTCCACCTCCGCTGGCGGAGCGGCTGCAGGTGACAGGCCCGGCCCACTCCCTCTCTCTCCGTGACTGATGGAGCGAGCGCTCCTCCGGCGCTCAGGTTCATTCAGCACTGAGAGTCACCGCAGCAGCATGAGGCCTCGCCTCCTCCCTCACAACTCACACAACTAATACAGCGAACTGGAAACTCAGAAAAAGGGGTCTTTCTACGCTAAAAAACTACAATGAGCCGAGTGGAAGAACTTTGTTTCGAAGCCCACAGGATGGAGCTGCCGGAGGAGGAGGAGGAGGAGGAAGACTTCTACCCGTACGAGTTCGACGCCGAGGAGGAGCTGCCTGCTTACCGGGACGGAGAGGAGCTTTTAGCCGCTCTGCGACGGAAAGAAGAAGAGGTTCTGCTCGCTGCTCAGCTGGGAAAGGCTCTGCTGCTGGAGAACCGTCAGCTGAAGGAGGAGAGAGTGAAGCTCCATGAGCGGTACACGGACCAGGTGGAGGTGAGTGACGAAGCTTCTTATTTTCCGTTCCACCTTGAAGGGAAACTCCACTGATTTTTTAAGAAATTCTGCATAATGAAGTGGTTAAGATGTAAACAGTCATTCAGAGTGGTTTGGTGTGAAATGCTGTGTTGTAGAGAAACTTACTGAGTCAGAATGATTCAGAGTGGTGGTGATAGGAACCAGACGTCCACCTCTAAAAGCTCCCTCACAGAAAGTTATTACATGAAATGGTTAGGAATTCACTGTCTGATGACTGAGAGTATTTTGTGAGGCAAAATCGTCTCCTCATTTTAACTGTTTTAAATATTTTCTATTATAGATATATATTTATAATAAATAATATTTATCTGTTTTAAATAGTTTAACTATTTTGACATCATCAACATTCAGAAGACACGTGTAGGTTCGCTGGTGGTTTTGATAGTAAATAAAATGTCCATATTTGTGTTGTAGTCATGGTGACCCCTGGTTCCTATCACCACCACTGTAAAGAAAACTGAACTATTTCACACCAAACCACTCTGAATCACTCTGATTACATCTCACACACTGAATTATTAAGAAATTTTGAAAAATTGGTGGAGTTCCCCTTTCAACAGGGCAGGGTTATGAACTGCTTATGCCATTAATTGCAATGTGACATGATGTTTTAAGGATTAAATGGCATTATATTGACATGAGGTGACACGAAAGACATTTGCTCCATTTATAACACTGTAATGAAGCTCTATTTGCAATTTTCATACATATTTGTATTTATATATGTATGAATATTTATAGCTACAAAAGTCCTGTACTCAAAAGTACATATACCCTTGGTTAAATAAAAGTAAGGAAAAACCATGAAAGTAGAAGTTCGCTGTCTGTACAAAGTACAAAGTTATTAGCTTTTAGATATACTTAAGCATAAAACGTAAAAGTTGTCTTTGTGCCTTATAAGGTTCGTTATGCCTCCTATCAGTGTATTAAATGAAACAGGTGTGTCACTTTACTTTAAGGCCTCTTATGTAATAATAATTAAGCAATAATAAATGATAAAAGTAGAAAAAATGAGGTAGTAAAAATGAAAGTTCCCTGTCTGTATTTTCTCTTAGTATAAAATCACAAAATTTCTAGCTTTTATATCCTCTGAAAAAAGACCATTAGAATCATTAGGATTAAACCCTGATCATTTTGCTTTCTAATGGGAATTGGCTTAATGGTGACCGTTAGAGACCACTGGTTTCCTGTAGGACACTGTTAGATCGGATTAGAAACACTGTTTTTATTGGACATCATCAGAAACCAGCAGAAACTTTTAACTGGTTTCTGATTTTTTTTCAGCACCAAAGGTAAAAGTACTTTTAAGTGCCTTATAAATTTCATTACTTGGGAGTGATACTTCATAACAGTGCTATAAATGGACTTTGCTTTAAGACCTCTTACGTCAATGCAGTGTCTTTTACTTTATAAAACATATTATGTAATCTTGTGGTTAAAAGAACTCAGTGCAGAAGTATTGGTCTGTAAATATATCATTCAGTGTGTGTGTGTGTATGTGACGTGAAAGTCGCCTTCAGATAAAATGTTACCGAGATTTCTGTAGTGCTGTGTAATATTTCTGCAATAATTTCTGGTCATATTTCGCACCGTTCATCATATCATATCATTTAAAAGACTAAATTCTTGTTGAATGTCCACCAATGTCCCCGTCCCACCCCCACCTACCATGGAAAGGAAATGCTAAGCTCGCTCAGAGACCCTTACTGATACCACGTTTCACTAACTAATGCATCATGATGTGAAAGGAGAATGAGTTATGGTTTCACATTCACACATATCATTAGTATGTATATATACATATACATATACATATATATATATATATATATATATATATATATACACACGATACACCTAATATATTCTATTTGTATAGTGCCTTTCACAAAACCTTTACAAGCTTTACATTGGTGAGAAAAAATAAATTGAATTAAACGTGAATTTTATGGTGGAAAGAAATGAATGTGTAGGATTGGAGCCACAGCCACACACTCTTCAATGGTTCTTCAAGGGTTTTTTTGGTAAAAGCAATGACCATAAGTACTCAAAGAACCATCTGAATGCTAAAAAGGACCTTTGCATGGTCAAACAATTCTTGTTGTATACGGTTCTTTAAAGAACCCTTTCAAAACTGGTTCTATAGCATTAAAAAGGGATTTTGCTTTTTGCTAAGAGTGCACACAGGCATTATGCAGCTGTATATTTATATCAGTTTTTTGAATGTAATTGAACCTCATTTAACTGAGACTTGTTTCCAGAAACACCCATTATTTCATGAGGAGCTCAGTACATCACAAAGTTGATGAACATGTACAAACATGCTTTGATTAGAGAGTAAAGCCTGAGACACATAAAGGTCTTTTTTGGGGTATTGGATCAAACTTCTCTAGTCAATGTACGTGTCACTTCCTCTCCTCACTACCACTGTACATGGCGTCAGAACATGGATAAATGTTGTTTTCTCTCAGTTTCATCATGGTAGTGTGACTTTAGCACATTCCTGGTGCCTGATGAGACCTTGGGCCTCATTCACCAACCTTTCTTATGAAGAAATTTCTTCTTGAAACCCAGTTATACAGTGTTTATGAAGATTTAGACATTCACCAGTGTTCTTATTTGGGATTTGTTCTTAGGTAAGAACAGAATCTACACACACTTAAGAGCACAAAGGTGAGAACAGTTCTGCGCTTTAAGAACACGTAATGAATCTGACGTAGACTTTTTCTTAGGACCTTTCACAAGAACACACTTAAGAAAAACCTTGGAAGAAATTGGAGAATGAGGCCCGGTTTTCTTTTGTTTCATGGCAAGAGCAGAGATGGGTAGAGTAGAGTGAAACCATTCTCAGGTAAAAGTACTGTTATTTCAATCAAATAATGACTCGCACAGAGGCCTAGATCAGAAGTCCAATGTTAAGTGCTCTATAGAACCCCAGAACCGCCTCACCTCGCCTTCATCAGGAGAGGAAGTGAAGATTGTACAGCTCTGTTCTTCTCTTACTGAATCCTTTTGGTCTAAAATAAAATGCTAAAGCTCCAAGTTGAGAGCAGAACCCAGCAAAAACTAACTGCTAACAGGTAAAATGTAGCTGGAAGCAAAAATATTCAAATGGAAGTTAAAGTATTAGCATTTCAAAAAAAATAGGCAAGAATCAGCTGTGTCACTGTGCACAAGAAAACCGGTCAGTGCAAGATTCAGTTTCACCTCTCACATCTTTCCCCATAGTGTCAGACTCCGTAAACATCTCACCTGTCTCACTCTTCACATCTCACTGTGAATATTTTGTTACTTTACTCTGTCCATTCACGCTGCAGTCATAAGTAGGGTTTCAGTCAAAACAGAGCTCACTAACATAACAGTTTAATTATAATCAGTGTTGGAAAATAGTTTAATTATAACCATTTTTGGATTTAGAAACTCACACAAACATTATAAAGTGGGCCTTGAGAAAAAAAATGCAAGAAAAAAGTAGGATATGGGCCCTTTAAGGGTTCAGCTTTTAGAAGAGCTAAAAAAAAAAGATCTTTGAGCTGAGGCTGTATTTATTTACAGGCTGTATATTTTTACAGCGTATCAGTCTTATCAATATCCACCACAGCCTGTTGGTCTATAATCAAATCATACCACCATACTGTGTCATTATATTTGTTTGAAAGGGGCCCTTTTGTTCTCTGTCATTTATATTTTCGTCTGATGTGATTAGACTGATGACGTCACTGTTATGTAATTATGGCCATTAAGGCTGCAGAAGCAAAGCTGATCTCAGTGAAACTACAGGGCTGTAATATGTGCTGTAATTCTGTGCTGTGAATATTCTGGCCAACCTGACCTGTTTAGAGACTTTGGATGAATCAGGACATTTGTGTGATCAAACAGAAGTACACAATTTTGGTTAAAATAATAAATCAGTATAATTGTAGGATGGTACTTTGTGCATACCACACAGCCCTAGTGAGTTCTAGCAGGATACGGTTGTTATATCTCAATATCTTAATTCTTCTGTTAAAGGGGAATGGCACCCATTTTGCTAAATTCCTGCATAATTAAGTGGTTAAGATGTAAACAAAGTTATTTTGATTGGCTGTTCCTTGTAGAGAAACTTACCGAGTCAGAATTGTTCACAGTGGTGGTGAACCAGACGTCCACCTCTAAAAGCTCCCTCACAGAAAGTTACTACATGACTTGGCTCATGACAATTTTTGGCCTGAATAGTAAATAAAATGTCTATATTAGTGTTGTAGTCATGGTGACCCTTGGTTCCTATCACCACCACTGTAAAGACATCTGAACCACTTCACACCAAACCACTCTGAATCACTCTGTTTACACTTCACACACTGAATTATGCAGAAATTTTGAAAAATCACTGGAATTTCTCTCCTTTCTTTGCTATACAATACAACACTTTTTTTCTCCAGTACTATTCTGCCGTACTCAGCACTGTTAATGTTTTCTTTCTGGGTGAACAGCGAAAGTTATTGCACTGCATAACTTGCTAGAGCCTTTTGACCTCTCTCTTTTTGTTTGGAAGACTACTTGTTGCTAGGCAACAGCCCAAGAGCTAGGGCTGGGCAATATTTCAATTTATATTGTTATCTTGATAAATTATGTCACAATATGCTTTTCTGAGGATATCTTTTATGTCGTCAGTACTTGTAGACACTGACCAACTGCATGTTTCATTATAAAGAGAGAACATTAGTCCAGTTTTTGATTGTATTTTTTAAAATGTAGCACTACTGGTTCTTTCTTCTCAGTTCCAACTGATCAGATGTCTGAAAAAAATAATAATTGTGATCGAGTATTGTGAAAAATTCTTGAAGTATCACGATATTATATTTTTATATCGTCCACCCCTACCAAGAGTTCTAGATCAGTAAGGTGCATCATTTTACATGTATAAATATCAGTTTTTGACTCTGAGGTCAAGACTCGATTTATTTTAAGGTTAAATCGTGCTTATAATGTCTGATTTTGTCAAGGTCCTATTATATAGTACACACTATTTTGGCTTAGCAAAAATGCAGATTTCATTTCAAAATGCAAATGAGCTCTAAACAATACGGAAATAGATAGGCTGCACCCAGATGCCCAGTTTAGCCCACCAACAGTGGTTTTAATAAAAGATGGTAAATGAGAGACACTCACGAAAGTGAGAGGGGCACATCAGCTGCACATAGTAGATGTTTTGAACAATTTTTTTTTCAGTTGTTTAACATTGTATTTAAATATATCACTGCTGTCGGAAGAAAACTTCGTATTTCCATTTTTGTCGTTTTTCAGGTTTGACATAATTTGAAAATACCTGATGCCCTTTCCATTGTATGCAAATTTCATATATAATGAACCAAAAGAAACGGCACAAAATGACTTGGAAAAAAATCTGGTTCCATTGACTTACATTAAAATTAAAGTAGGTTTTTTCCTTCTCCTGTAAAGTTACCATTTTGGAGATGCGAGGTTTTCTTCCGACAGCAGCGAAATACAGCTTGGTTACTTCATTTGGTGTTCAGAGCATTAATGTCGTGCTTATAAAGGTGTGAAACAGCTTGTTCGTGTAAATCAGTTTACTGAGGCTGGACGACTGGGAAACCCTTTAGAGAATAAAAGTCTCGGGCCTGTTATATTTGCACACAGTGCCCACTTTATTGCCCCCATATTCAGCGCAGGATCTGCTTACACAGCTCTGGTTTGTCAGGAAGAGATGGATGCTGAAATGCTGCTGAAGTGCTCGGCGGTGCTGGGTGTTAGCAAGACCAGCCATTAAAATTTTAGTCGTTTAGCAACCTGAAAGAATGTCATTGTTGTCAGTGGAGGTATATCTTGCTCTCCTGCTCTCACGTTGCCCGTCCTTCCCTCTGTACACCCGGCAAAAGCAGTGATTTGAGTGGAGCCAGACTGAAATAGCCGAGCTGTGGATTTGTGGCATCACTGGGATGCAAACTATACTAAAATCTCAAAAATCCCCCCTGTTTAAATCCACAATATGACACAATTATGTGGACACCCCCTCTAATTATTCTGTTCAGGTGTTTCAGCCACTTATTGCTAACAGGTGCATAAAATCAAGCACATAGCCATGCAGTCTCCATAAACACTGGCAGTAGAATGAGTCATACTGAAGAGCTCAGTGACTTTAAACATGACACTGTCCTAGGATGCCACCGACCAATCAGACCAGAGCTCATTTACATATATCGGTCTTAGAAGCACAGCCTGTTTATTTCTAAGGGATGAAAAGAGGGTGAAAAATGATCATTTAATCCCACACAAATGTCACAAGTGGAAAATAAAACACAAGAAAGAATGTAGGACATGGGTTCTTTAGAAAACAGAAGGACCGTGCAGGCAGTGGATAGGTGATGTAGTCAGCCACTGTTTTGTCAGTAATTTCTGATGAATTATCCACTGAAGCTGGTAAGAATTCAACCCAGCTCCGCTGAAATAAGACAGGGAGGCTTGTTATAACCCGGGTGCTGTTCTGCAGGAGCTGGAGCAGGCCAGGCACGAGCTGCGGCTGAAGCTGCAGGGCTCCCAGGCTCAGTGGGAGAGCCAGGTGGTGGAGCTGGAGCGGGACGTGCAGGAGCTGAGGGCTCAGGTGGAGGAGCTGACGCAGGCGCTGAGCGAGGCAGAGAGAGAGAAAAGCCGAAACCAGCAGCAGCACGCAGAGATCAGCCAACAGCTCAGAGAACAGCTGCACATAGTGAGTCTCTCTCTCTCTCTGTCGCTCTCTCTCTCTCAAAATGCAAAACCAAGATTAATATAAGACAATGTAACAATTAAGAAGATAAAGTGTTAATTATCAATTAATAATATAAAAGTATATGCGATAATAAAACAAAACCTATTGAATATGTGTGTGTAGTTTATAACAGGAAAGAGAAGAAAAAAAAGTTCATTATGAAATATATTTATGTGAGTAAAAAGGGAAAAAAGAGAAGGAAATTCTGTCTGTCTCTTTCTCTCTCTCTCTCTCTCTCTCTCTCTCGCTCTCTCTCTTTCTCTCTTTGTGTGTTCTTCATGTGTTTCAGTTAGTGCTCTATAGTATAGTGATCATTCATTGTTGATGATTGTTAAACATACTGACTCAGTCAGCTCACTCCTTGTTCAGGTCAGCGTATTTGTGAAGGCAGGAAAGTTGAAATTCTCCTGAATCTTTCCTTTATTTAATCTCTGAGAAGTCCAGCAGTCCTGATCTGACCCACAACACCAGACCCGTCACTCCCAGCTGCCTTTTCTGTGCCAAAAAAAGCAGATAGTAGATAAGCAGTGACCTTACACAACACTCAGACTGACTGTCTCATTTTAAACTGCATCTGAGTAACCAATGACGACTGTATAAAGGACTGAGGCACATATTCCACATCAGCCATGCTTAACAAGCTGAAGCTGCACTTTTCTTTAGACTGAATAAGGATGACATCACTATTCAAGTAAATCAACACTCTTAACCCTTGTGTGGTGTTGATGTGTTTGTTACTCAGTGGTCTGGTGGATCCACTACATTATTGGATTTTTAAGTCAATACAGCCACAATAATTTATGTAAAAACACCAGATGTTTAAAATATCACAAGTGTCCAGCGTACGGTTCTCCTTTAGCAGCTGTAGCCAGTCAGCAGCCTGTCCATGTGGTCCACCCTCACACACACACACATATACAAACACACAGACACACACACACACTAACAGCAGGCCATGTAGGAGGAGAACAGAGTGAAGGACACAGCACCTCCACACTTTTACTCCTCGCAGGTTCAGCCCAACACCACATGTGTAATATAAATGTATGGGGGGTGAACAGAGTGAAGACACTGAAAATGGGTTATTTTATATGTTCTTCACAGAAAATAAGCAAAGGCCAAGAATCTGGGGTTGAAATGATAATAAATCACATCATTTTTTCTTTTGGTAAACATTGAAAAAGGGACCCACAGACCTGAACACCACACAAGGGTAAAAAAAAAAGATGTTTCTCCAAGGGTTCTTTAGTATAGACAATAGTTCATGCTTAAATGGTTCTTTACATGGTGAAATGGTTCATAAAAATGATGGAAAATATGTCATATCTGATTCTTTATAGCACCAAAAAGAGTTTTGCTGCTACTGTTACGATGTCAAGCTTGTAATAATAGAAGAACCCTTTGTGGTGCTATATAGAACCATAAACAACACATTTTCCATTAATACAAAGAACCATTTCACCATGCAAAGAAGCGTTTAAGCATGAACTCAAGTTTCCATTTTCTTTACTTAAAAAAACCCTTGAAAAACCACCTTTTTAACTGTGAATAGTGAAAGTATTGTGTTGAAAAAACAACAACAACAAAAAGCTCTGCCTGGGTCACTTTGCTGTCAGTAGCACGGCTCCTCTTCTTCCTTCTTCCTTCCTGAGTCAGAGAATGATAGCTAAACCAGCAAAGCATGTGACCAGGACAGGAAAACAACAACTAAATACTGAATAGGTGGAGCTCGCTTTGATAAAAGCAAAGCTGCAGGCCAGCAACAGCAACAACAATCTGAGAATCAGCACAGTTAATGTCACTGTTCACTGTAAAAAATGATACCTTGGCAAGTGAAACAATCTTAAATCTAACCAACATGTCTAATATTACTCACTATGAGATTGCTGTAAGAGTATTATATGATTATTGAGCCTATTTCTAGACATTGTAGGTGTTTCAAGTAAGGTTGTCTTGTAAAATTGTCATTCCTTCACCAGATCATTTTGATTGTTTTAAACAGTTGTGCTTAAAAGTAAAATTATCAATTTCACTGTGATATGATTACTTTAAACAAGTAATCTGTGTAGAAATAACCTCTAAAGTAATCTACCTAATCTTAGAAGATTCTCACAATCTTTAAATGAAAATGAGGCACCAGTAATATTTTTTATTAATAATAATAATAAGTTCAGTTTATCAAACAGAAGAACGCTTTAGAAAAAGATCAGAAAATAACAAAATACATAATCAACAATAAATAAACCAACACAGCACACACAAACACACAACTCTACATTTCCAACAGCTGGCCAGGGGGGATTACAATGACCACAGTATAGAGTCACTTAACTAGCCTGGAAAGAGTCCTTAGCTGCAATTCTCACACCGCAACTGTGGTGCGTCACACAGGCAGCCAGCCTAGGAAGGCTTGAAGGCTGAAAATGTCCTTAGCCACCAAGGAGGACGATTTTTCTGGAGCCGAACACCACCAGTCCCAGCGGCGTCACCCAAGCAGCTGGCCCAGGAAGCCACGTAGCTGTGATGTAGCGTTGCTTAGGCAGCCGGTCTGAGAGGCCTGCTAGCCGTGGCTTAAGGATGCTCATGCAGCTGAACACTACTGGTCCAGGCAGCCCCACAGCTGCAGTGCAGCGTCATCCAAGCAGCTGGTCCAGGCAGCCACATATCTGCAATGTAGTGTTGATTAGGTCCCCGGTCCAGGCATCCTTGTAGCTGTGATGTAGCGTTACCAAAAAGGCCAGCCTAAGAACCCTCTGAGCCACAGGTGGAAAATCTCTCTCAGCTGCTATAATGGTGGAATGATGGCAAACCCCTCAGCCAGCAGGGAAACATCAAAACATGCAAACAAACAATACAACATTTTTTTTTTATTTTACTTACAGCGGAACGAACACACGTGCGCGCGCACACACACACACACACACACCATGATGATGTTAATGAGCACTTTAAACATTTTGAAAAAGGTTAAAGGGGAAATTTTGTAAACAGAGTCGTTCAGAGTGGTTTATTGTGAAACGCTCTGTTCTAGAGAAACTTTCCAAGTCAGAACTGTTCACAGTGGTGGTGATAGGAACCTTTTCATTGTTGATAAACCTCATAAATACTAAATACCGTGATGCATATCATGTATTGTGAAAATATCTTGATATATTGTGATATATTTTTGCCACATTGCCCACTTCTAGGTGTGTTAGAGCTGAGAACATACAGGTCAGGATTGTGAGTCACTGATCTAATAGAAACCTAACCTTCTCAACTCAGACACACAGTTGCGTTCCTCTCACTTTCAGGCTCTAATCTAATCTCCCGAGCGCCTTCTGAAGGTCAGACGTTGCACAACTCTTCAGAACACAGTGTTAGCATTCAGAACGAGCAGAAACTCCTTGCTCAAGCCGGTGAGGACTTCTTATCTCTTTTATTATGCGTGTGCAAAATAGGTACGTGATGATATACATGACAAACGCCAAGGCCTTGCTTTCCGCTTTGGCAGCAGCCTTGCATTGTTGCGCTCTTGTCCTGGTATAATATCTAACTCAGCACACACCCTCTAACTCCCCCCCTGTCCGGCCCAGCAGACAGCAGCGGCTGACCAGCACTTTCCAGAAATCAAAGTTCAGGGAGGAAAAAGAAAGAAAAACACGTGTTTACAAGAACTATCGGCACATCTCCACTCTCAAAGAGGAGGAAGTGGCTCATTCTGCTGCTGCTTTTCCACCATGGATGACTCGCTGCTTCTGAGCGGGGTTAAGGAAGGGTTGGATACCACCGTAGAGATAACTGACTTGTGCTGGGCCGCCAATGTGCCTTTGCCAGATGTGGTGAACGGCGGTTCCTCTGTTTCTAAGCGAGCTGTGCCAGCAACGGTGAGTTAGGAAGCTCCTTTGTATTTATGAGAGTGTTGGTGTGCATGTGCATGGGCTCACTGAGGCTTGGCAGCGGTCAGCAAACTGCTTATCTGGGGCAGCAGCGTGAGGGAGGGTGAGGGTATGAAGCGAGAGAGCGTGGGAGAAGCCCCCGCAAATGAACCGCGGCCGTGCCAGGAAAGCCGTGCCGGCCTGTACCAGCAAGCACGAGCCTCTGGAGGATCTGAGCGTGCTTACATTGGCCTCTTGTCCCGAACGAGGCTGTTTGCACCGTTATGTTCAGGCTGTTTGGATTCCATGGGAAGGGAAATGAATGATGTTGTTGTCAGCCTGTGTTATGTGAGGCCAGTAGCAGGTCAAGGTTAACTGAACAGGACCTATTTACAGGTCCGTTAATGAAAACTATTACTATAACAAAAACTACTCTGTCAGTAAAAATGGTACAGCACAGGTATATTTTGTTCATCAAGATACAAACAAAGTAAAAGTACCATTAAATATATTCACAGTCCAAAGAAAACCATGTATCTCCATTTTTGTCGATTTTTATTTTTGTAAGGGGCAACAGGTGTTTGAAAAACTGAAAAACGACAAAAATGGAGATAAGAGGTTTTCTTCTGACAACAGCGAGATATATATATATATATATATATATATATATATATATATATATATACACACGTTATATATATATATATGTTGTCAGAAGAAAACCTTGTATCTTAGTTTTTGTTGTTTTTCAGTTGTTGACCTAATTTGAAAACACCTTTTGTTCTTTACATTGTGTGTAAATTTCATGATGAATGGAGCAAAAGAAATGACTCAAAATTACTTGGAAAAAAATTCTGGTTCCATTGACTTACATTAAAAGTAAAGTATGTTTTTCCCTTCTCCCATTTTGGAGATTTTCTTCCGACAACAGCAAGAAACCATGTATCTCCATTTTTGGCAATTTTCTGTATCATTTCTTTCAACCTCTTTAAATTAACTTACATTGAAAGGGTAAGAGTGTTTTTGCCCTCTTCTGTAAAGTTACTATTTTGGAGATACTTGTTTTTCTTTGAACAGCGATGATATACAACAATGTTAATATGA